GGCCGATGTCCAATATTCAGTTTTAAGGCCGATACAGGCCGATACCGATAGGGGGCCGATTATATCCTGCATCCCTAGCAAAATTGTCAATATAACAAATTCAATTTCTTTAATGGACCAATAAGTTGCCATTTCTATACCAGCGCATATCATCATAAGAAATATAGTTAATATTATGTCTTCAGTACAGGGACCATAATAGAAAAGGAATTTAAAAGGACACAGGCCACTATTAGTCCCTGTAAATAACCACCTGTGCTAACAGAGCACTTCTCTCTCAATCTTACGTTAACACCCGCCAGCGGAAACACCCACCTACCCAACTGACAGACGGAATCTCACTATACATCAGCCATTCTCATCCTCCCCTCTCTCATGACAAGTCCTATCATGAAAAAAAGGTTAATTGTGCGACCTGAGTAACGTGCAGTAACGGGGTGTCGGCAATGGTAACTGCGTTATAGTTACATTCAAAGTAATGAGTTAGATTACTCGTTACTAAAAAAAGGTAACGGCGTTAGTACTTTCAAGGCCGTTACTCCCATCATTATGTTGCTATAGACTTAGACTGCTGGAGGACATAGGGAACACTTTTCATCATTCTTCACTCTATCTCTATCCCCCCATTCTGCAGTATTTGTTTATTCAACCCATACCTTTATGTTCTCTCAGCTTTCCCTCATCATAATGGTTTCATTATGCTGTTCCTGTGTGGCTGTAACGCCATCCTGAGGAGAAATATCAGCTGGGCTGCTGCCATCAGCATCTCTTATGGATGATAACATTTTTTTAGTGTTTATTTCTGTTTTACACCTAGACATAACTGTGTGCTCAGCTTTTACTGTGACTAAGTGTATGTACTCTCCTTCGTGCCTTTTGACATAAAACTGGCTCAGAGCTCACCTGCTTAACTGTTTCTTTCCTAGACAAGCCACCCGCATATCCATCTGGAAACCTTCCGTTGAAGTAATTTAGGGAAGGGGCGAAAATACTGGTTAGCTGATTGGCCTATGTTGGTGATAGACGGGCCAAATAAACCAATCAGATCAACGAAGCATATGACGTACTAA